CAGCCTGGGCTTGAACTCGTAGATCCTCCTGCGTCAGCCTCTGGCTTGCTGCGATGACAGGCGTGCGCCTCCACGCCCAGCCTCGATCTTACCACCGTTGTTGCTATGTTTGTCCAGGCAATGGATTACAAACTGCTGGACAGTGAACACCGGGTCTCGGTATTGTCCCTGGCCTGGACGAGGTTGGCGTGTGGCTGGCTCTGGCCGCTCAGGAAGTATTTGTTAGCCTGACTCCCCCTTAGCCCGAGGACAGCTGCTTTCTTTTTAGTGAAACTGGACCTTTTCCCCTCCTCCCCCAATGGAATTAGAATACGTCAGATGGCGAAAAGTACAGGTCTGCGGCGGAGACGGCCGCCTGGGCGGGCAGCGCACAACAATGCGCTTTTGCGCTTTGCAGCCCAGATGCCGCTCAGAACAAGGAACCATCACAAGGGGATCTTTAGATTTTTTTTTCTCCTTTGCCCCAGCCCTGAGCTGTGGCACTTGGAATAATCCTGGTTTCCGGAGAACAGACTACTGTAATGATAATCCAGGAAGTAAATTGCCCTTTGAAAAGCAAGGAAGAAACCAATCGACTAAGTATTTATTTATATTTAATGCTCCAGGGCTTCTCTTTCCAGCTTTGAAGAGTTCCTGGCAAGTGCCTTTTGAAGTCATTAATCCTGGGGGCGAATCTAAATGTCTTTCAGGCCGCTCCTGGCCCGCAGCCTGGCACACTTGTTTATCACCTTGCTTTCCAGAGCCTGCTCTGGGGACGGCTGGTGATGGGGAGCAGGGCAGGAGGGGGTCTGTGTGCCGTCTTGACCAAAGCCAGTCTCCGGTGGAGCTGGCCCCTCCTGGATGCGGGCCTGTGCTCACCTTCCCCTCTCCCCGTGTGTCAGCTACACTGTGCTGGCCTGCACTGGGATGGGCCAGCTCCAAAAGCATCTATCTGCCGGGTGCAGTGACGTGGGCCTGTGATCCTACAGTTGGGAAGCTGATGCAGGAGGATCCTCACAAATAAGAGATGATCCTTGGCTACTTAGTGAGTTCAAGGCCAGCCTGAATTGCATAGTGAAAGCCTGGCTCCAAAGACCAACAAACCAATAAACAAAAATCCAAAACTCATCTACCAGTGTTTTGTTTTGCTTTTAGTTGTTGTTCATAAAAGAAAGATTAGAAACTGAGGTACACACACCTGGAATCCTGGTAATCTGGGAGGCTGAGGCAGGGTAGTGAGTTTGAACCTATTCCAGGCAATTTAGAAATTTAATGAGGCCCTATCTCAAAATTTAAAAATAAAAATTGCCTTTCAAGGACTGGAGAAGTAGCTCACTGTGAAGGCCTGAGGTACCATGCCCAGTACCAGAAAGAAAGAAAAAAGAAACTGTAAATAAACAAAAAATGTAGGCGCTGGGGATTTAGCTATGTGTGGTTGTGAGTTTGATCCTCGGTAAGAAAACTTTTCTTTTTGACTTTTTGAGACAGGGTCTCACCACGCAGTTCAGGCTGGGCTTGAGCTCACTTGGTAGCCCAGGCTGGTCTTGAACTTGCAAGGATCCTCAGCCTGCTAAGTCCTGGATTACAGGCCTGCACCACCACGCCTGCCCAAGAGGTCTTGCAGGAAGGGAAGAGAACAGAAAGTAACCAGAACTATGGTGACTTCCATTCTCACAGGGTCTCCGCACAAGGAAGACATCAAGTACTGCAAAGGTACTCGCCAAATGTCAACAAAACAGTATGACTGTGTGTGATGTTAATCGTCTGCTTTTATCACTAATAATATTTTTACTTGGGTCGGTAAGTGCAGAGTCCACCACGACAGTGTATACACTCTTCTGTTCACCACACTGATAAATGGGGGGGAAGCGCACCATCGGAGGCCTCTAGGAATTGCAGAGGCCAACGGTAACTTTGTGACTCTCAGGATGTCTCAGATCTTGTTTTAAAATATTGACACAAGGTTTCTTTTTCCTATTTTTTTTTTTTTTTGCAGACTGTATCTCTGCATTAGGAGTGCTGATTTATTTTTGCAGTATGGGGAGGAACCTTCACACTGAACCTTCACTACCTCCGGACCCCTTGGTTTCCTGTCTTTGAGACAGGGTCTCACTGAGTTGCTAAGTTGCCCAGGCTGGCCCCGAGCTCCTGATCTCCTGGCTCCAGGAGCAGCGCCTGCTTTCCTGGAGTGACTGCCCCATTCCTGGGGTGACGGCCCCGCAGTGCGCGCAGCTGTTTCTGCTGCCTGGTGCTCGCATCGCTGAGAGGGTTGGTGCAGGCGGGGTTTCCGCCCCTCTGGTCCAGGCACAGCTGTGGCAGCTCTGGGCTCCTGGGCCTCTGTCCTCCATGCAATGGCCTCTTTTCCAGTGTCCTCGAGGCACTCCTTATGTGCCCATCTCCAGTGTTCTTCTCTGAGGACATGGGTCATGCTGCACCGTCCAGTGATGACCTGGTCTTACCTTGAGCTCTTCCTTCAGAGAACTGTTGAATCTGGCAGACAGAACACCTGGAGGGACCGGATGACAGGGAGCCTTAGAACTCAGGGCGGCTTTGCAGAAGAGTCGGGGACTCTGTTCTGTGTCTCTCGCTCAGCAAAGCCGCCTCCACATACACCCGTGAGCTCTGGGAGAGGGAATGTGGGGTGAATGAGGTTCCCTGGGGAATGGGGGGCAGGGCTGTCCTGGCCACACACGGAGGTGAGCAAGAACACAGGCCACTCCTGGAGGCCAGCTCCTGAGACCCAGCAGTTCTGCCACCCCAGGAAACGCAATGGGTCCTTGGGTTCGGCCTCCATGGGGCCAAACAACTTCGGATCCAAAAGACTTGGGGCCAGGGGTGACGGCACACACCTGTGATCTCAGCACTCAGGAGGCTGAGACAGGAGGATCACTGAGAGTTCCAACCCAGCCTGAACTACATAGGGAGACCCTGTCTCAAAACCCAAACCAAAGGACACCAATCGCCACAAAAAGAAAACCAGGGGAAACGACCTCCACAGTGTGCACGTCTAGCCTTTCTTCCTGCTCATACTAAACAGTGGGGTCACCAGCCAGCGCTTGTGTCCCTCCCAGGTGGCGTCCGAAGTGACTTAGCGACGATGTAACCCTCAGGAGCTTGTGTGGATCACACCCGAATCCCCCGGCACTGTACAGAGGGGCTCCGTGGCCGCAGGCTCAGCGTCCAGGGCCTCCCCCGAGGCTGCCGAGGGGGGGGGGGACAGCACCTGCTGCTTCCTGCATCCTGAAGGAAATGCTGCGCCCCTTCCCGTGCCCATGCTGGGGTCACACTCTGTCTCTCTGCTTCATCTGTGTGGTGCCCCAAATCCATTTAGGGGCCTCTCCTGCCACGGAAATGTCCTCCGAGTGAGTGCTGGTGTCCCCACCTTGGGGTTGCCAGCCGGTGCCGGCAGGATCTGGCTGTTGTGTGTGCCCCCTCTCGGTCTCTCTCCCTCTCTCCCTCACTGTCTCTGTTTCCCTCTGGGTCCCTGGGCTGTTTACTGCTCTCAGCCTGAATGCTTTTCCAAACAGCACTTACAGCTGTTTACAAGTGATCCCACGGGTGGTTACTTTTGTTCCCCATGCTGCTGTGCCTTGGGGGTGATCTCAGCCCAGGTCACTCAGGGTTGACCCCTGAGATCCCGGTAAAGCTGCCTGATTTATGGACTTAGTCATTCCATCTTCCACAAACATTAATTTACAGCCCACATCGGGCACTGGGAGAGACTTTTATGTCCCTCTTCCAATTGCACTGAATTCCACGAGAGCCACCCAGAGCCAGGGAGCTTTGGCAATCAAGGACTTTGATAATGGAAAGCCACGAGGAACAGGTTTGGCTGCCTTGAGCTCACCTGGAGGGGCAGGCAGGAGCAGCGGCAGCCCAGGCGAGTGGCACTGTTTGCTTGGCCTAGGTGGGAGCTGGGCCTTCCCTCTAGGGGTTTTCCAGGGCCCTGAGGAGTGACCCTATTCTGGCCTGCAGACCCAGACCCTCTCAGAGGTGACTCAGCTGGGAGTGACACACACAGAAACCTGAGATCCAGGAACTTGGGAGGCTAAGGCGGGAGGATCACTGCTATGAGCAGAACCAGCCTGGGCTCTACAGAGAGTTCAAGGCCAGCCTGAACAGCCTAGCAAGACCCTGTCTCAAAAGTCAACCATAAATAAATAAATAGCACCTAAGGCCACTGCTGTTCTGACCTCTACCTGGCTGCGTAGCCCTCAGGCTGAACCCAGGAGCAGCACGGAGCAGGCGAGCCTGGCTGAGGGCTCTGGTGACTCCAGCGGCCCAGGAAGCAGGAAAGCCTCCATGCAAGTGTGCCTCTGCTTCCAGGGCAAAGGCCCAGCCAGTGACCTGGGGAGGTCTCCAGGTATTATTTACCTGGAGAGAGAGAGACCCTGACTGGCTTTCTGGCTCCCCGTGCCCCGGGTTAGGGTCTGTCAGGGTTTGTGTGGCCGCCCAGTGTTTGTGAGGACACAGGGCTGGGCTGGAGGGATGGGAGGGACAGCCCTGCCAGGCCTGCTCCCAGCCTCCAGATGACAAAGGTTGCATTTACACCTGGCTGGGAGTTTAATCATCCACCATTTGCAAACACAGCAGGCTAACAACCTGCTGGCTGAGAATCATAAATTAAAACAGTTCCCCCACAGCAGACAGCGCGGGAAGGGAAGAAACCAGTGGTGTCTTTGCTGGGGGTGGGGGGCAAGGGCCTGGCAGGGCCAGGTGAGGAGCCCTGAGTGAGGGCCTAGGGAGAGGCCGTGGCAGGCGGAGTCCCCACCCAACGCGGGAGGGGAGCAGGGTGGGCAGGTCTTCCAGGAGACCAGGGCTGACTTTTTCTGTTTTCTGTTCTCTTTGTTTTTGAGACAGGGTCTCATGAGATAGCCCAGGCTGACCTGGTAGGAATCCTCCTGCCTCAGCCTCCCGAGTACTGGGATTCCAAACATGTGCCACCACGACCAAGTTTCCCTTCATTTTTGTTTTTACCTGTTGATTTGATCAGACCCAGAGGGCCACAGAGCCTCATGGAGGAAGAGGATCATCATCATAAAGGTTTTATTGCAGAGGGGTGACCAATCTTTAGGTAATTAGCAGTAGATCTTGTTAGATGTCTGCTCTCATGGGCCGCTCTGGTCAGCACAGAGATGCAGCAGAAGTGGGCCAGGTCCTCCTCCCTCAGTAAACTGCCGCCTTGATAGCGCCCCAGGCTGAGACAACACGAACCCGGTGAGAGGGCGCCTTGGAACTGCGTACACGCATCTGGCCGGCTGTCCTGGCGAAGAAGCAGAAGCCGTGCGCATCACCCGGATGACTGTGGGGCTTGGCTGGGCATTCGGGTGACCTCCTGGGGTCTCGGTCCTCTGTAAGCCATTAGATCGATGATGAGAAAGATGAGTCCTGTTGCAGGAAAGCCAGCTCTGGGCTGGCTCGGAGGGACGGTGTGTGGCAGGAGAGCCAAGCAGGCTCTGCTTGGGCTGGGGGTCGGGATCGCGTATTTTGTGTGCTGTTTTTCTCAAAGCTTGGAAAGTTTAAAAAGGTGTGTGATATTCTAGTGCTTGTGAACTTTGCCCCACGCTCCTAGCATGGTGGTGCAGGCCTGTCATCCGAGCACTCAGGAGGCTGAGGCCGGAGGATGCTGAGTTCCAGGCCAGTCTGAGCTACACAGTGAGATCCTGTCCCCTACCCCACTCTCATCCCCGTCCTCTCAAAAGTGTTGTCAACTCTGGAAATAAAGCTTCTTTTAGTAGATTGCTCGTTTAACTCTCTTTTAGTATCTGAGTCTTTCATTCATTTGGAAAACATGTTGGCTTTTTTTTTTTCTTTGTAGAAGAAAAGAATAGCTCCAAAGATCAAAACCTTTGTTAAAAGGCCTTTGTAGTCATTGTAGAATCCTCTGATTTGCTCTAAGCCTCAGAAAGGTAAAGTCTGAAATCTACATGGCATTCATGGTGGGTTTCGTGCAACTTAGAAAAAGTGAACCAGACCCCTTGGAAAATATGTTTGGGATTTTCCTCAAAACCCCGTGTCCTTCCTGAATGGGTGCTGGCAGCCCCCAGCACTCCCCTGGCCTCCGTCAGATGCTCGGGAGGCCGGCCACCCACTGCCAGTCTCTGTAAACACCAGAATCCTCCCTCTGAGCCTGTCCTGCTCCCTATCTCGGGGCGTGTCGGGAGGGCACCACATCACAGGCCCTCGGAGCCCAGGGCTGTGCCCCGCAGAGGCAGAGGCGCAGAGGCGGCCAGGGAGGCCTGAGGTCCTGGGACAAGAGGAGGCAGCCCGGAAGCTGCACCCCCCACCTCGCTTGGATTCCCACCACCCACTGAGGCCCAGCGCCTAGCCTGTGTGTCCTGCAGTCCCTGTGCCCTGTGATGGAGGGGCGGTGTGGAGAACAGTTTGAAGGGTGTGTGTGTGTGTGTGTGTGTGCATATTTCTATCTCTCAGTGCATTGTTTACTTTGTAGGTTTGTTTTGTGAGACAGGGTCTTGCTTTGTAGTGCAGGCTGGGCTTGAACTCACTGTGTAGCCCAGGCCGGGCTGGAACTCATGGTGATCCTCCTGCCTCAGCCTCCTGAGGGCTGGGATTAGACGGGTACACTACCATGTCTGACTTTATTTTTATCAGTGCACATTTGCAGTCCACAATGGTCGCTTTCACTGTGGAGAGTTGAGACGGGTACACGACTCCTTTGAATTCCTGTCTCGGAGAGGTGGGGTTTCAGAGTGACTGCAAAGACAGAATCAGTGACCTCGCAGCCCTGGTGCACACACCCTTTTGCACGCAGCAGCGTGGCTTTGTGGAGTTTCCAGTAGGAGCAGAGCCCTTTCAGCTGGAGAACGTAAAATGCTTTGGGCGATTTTCAGTTTAGGGTCCTTTGCTCAAGGCTCTCAGCTCCCTAACCTGGCTGTTTCCCAGTTTTTAGCAACTGCAGCACGCTCGGAAAATTGCTTCTAAATGGTCACCTCTAATTTAGAGTCAGGTTTGGTACAAGCCTGTCATCCCAGCACTTCAGAGGCTGAGGCAGGAGGATCACCACAAGTTCAAGGCCAGCCTGGGCTACGTAGTGAAACCTGTGCTCCCCACAAAAAAAAAAAAAAAAAAAAAAAAATCACTAAAATGAAGTCAGTTACCACATTGCCCGGGCTACAGGAGTTCAGGGTAACCTGAAGCCCAGACCTGCCTGTGTCTTCCTCCTCCACACCCTTCTCAGCAGACACCATAAAAAGGCGAGGCCAGCGGTGGCAATTGAGAGCTCTGTCCCTTTCCTTTCCTGCACGACCCGCGCCTCGGGTGGGTCACTGTTTGTCCTCCCAGGTATGTGTTTGTGTCTGGCATCCTGGGCAGCAGGTCAGGGGCTGGGGAGAATTCAGTTTCTAGGAGGGGGGCCTGCAGCTCCCAGGGTCTCCAGGAAGGTGGATTGCAGAAGGGCCCTCCTGGGCTGCAACTCTGGGGGACAGAGTTCGCCTCCCACCCCAGGCCCAGGCTCAGCCCAGCACACAAAGACCAGCAAGAAGCCTTACTACGTTTCCTGGGTGTTTTGCTAACTACAGATTTCCTCAGCCACAGCCAGAGTGGTGGTCTGTAATCCCAGCACACGAGAGGCTGAGGCAGGAGGCTCCCCCTGAGTTCCAGGGTAGCCTGGACTACACAGCAAGACTTGATGTCATATTATTTGAAATGATAATTAAAAATAAAATGTAAGGAAATCCTCAAAAAAGAAAGAGGGAAGCGACTCCTCTTTTGCAAAGATTAAATGATTTTGCTGTCTGGAGCGGCACTCAGGAGCACAGAGCTTGCCTGGCGTGCACTCGGCCCTGGGTTTGATTCCCAGCCCCGGAGGCAATAAAATAAAATAAAAATCAGTGAAATGATTAAGATGATTTCCAACCTTCACTGAGCCCAGAGGTTGGCTGGGGATGGGAAACTGGAAGGGCAGGATGGAAGTGGTCCCCTCGGTCACACATTAAGCTGCTCTGTGATTTTCCTCCAAAAAACAGACAGACAGACAGACAGACAGACCCTTTCCACTGCCAACACACTCATTAACACTGTGGTTCAACGCCGTAGTTCTGCACCCCCCACCCCGTGCTGCTCAGTTCTGCCTGTGTCCAGAAGAAACAGTGAGGGGGAGAAGGAGCCCCAACACTGGCCTTGCCCCCCGCCAATCCTCTTCCCTGTGTTAATTTCTGACTGTACCCAGCTGAGAAGCAGGAACACTGAGTTAGGACACAGGCCCCCCCCCCCATGCTGCTTTCTGTTTCCCGGATAACATGGACTGCGCCCAGCGGCTTCGTGCTGAGCTGCAGTCCCAGCCCTGTTGTATTTTTTATGTTTGAGACAGGCTCACACTGACCTGCTGCACTGCCCAGGCTGGGCTGGAACTTGCAGCCCTCCTGCCTCAGTCTCCCAGAGTGTTGCTGGGATTACAGGTGTGCACCACCCTGCTTGGCTTGAGTGCCACTTTGATAAGCAGTGTCAAAGGTCCAAGAGCAAAGCCCCTGGGTTCTGGGTGGGTGCCGAGTGAGGGTCTGACCTTTCGGGGCCACCTGGGATCAGATCTGCAGAGTCTGGCCTCAGAGAGGTTTGGAGTAGGGTGTTCTCTACCCCAGGAGCCCAGCACTTGGGAGGCTGAGACAGGAAGATTGCTGCAAATTCAAGGCCAGCCTGTGCTATACAGCAAGTCCTTGTCTCAAAAAAACAAAACCAAACCAACCTTCCCCCGCAGAAGATGTGAACATATAATAATAATTATTATTTTTGGAGGGGGGGTGTACTGGCAGTCGAACTCAGGACCTTGTGCCTGCCAGGCAGGAGGATGCAGCTGAGCTACATCCCCTGGCTAATGTATAATTATTGTGTGGTTAGAAAATCTCATCCTTACCATACTAACCAGGCTCTCCTCCTGGGTCAGTGCGGATCATCCTGTCCGTTAGGACCGTTTGAAAGTTTCCGTCACCCATCCAGAGCCAGCACAGAGCTTGGTGTGCTCACTTAGGGCTTTCACAAATCCTCCGCGGTGACAATGTAATGATGATCGATGCCAGCATTTCTGAAAGCTTTTTTTTTTTTTTTTTTTTTTTTTTTGAGGACCAAAGAAATAAGAAAGCTCCCAGCATGGAACATTCTAGAAGGTACGTGAGGAAGTCAAAAGGAGAGCGGGGACCATGTGAGCTTCCCACCTTCAAAGACTTTGGATAAAAGCCCTACTTTGTGTTTTTTGGTTTTGTCTCTTCTTTAGCTTTTGTTTGTTTTTGAGACAGAGTGTTACTAGGTAGCCCAGGCTGGCCTCAAACTCAGAGCAATTCTCCTGCCTCAGCCTCCAAGTGCTGGGATTCAGGTGAGTACCAACATTAGTTAATTTTTAAAAGGTGTTTAAATATCCCTTCATGCATAAAACAAATGCACCCTTATGCTCATCCGCCAAGGTCCGTCCTGTCAGCATGCTGGTGGCCTCAGTGTCACCAAAGACTCAGCACGGGACCCCACTGCAGGCATGTCTGAGCCGTGAGGTCCCTTACATGACACAGTACACTGCTTGTGCAGGACCTGTGCAACCCTCTGGCTGCGTCATCTCTATGCATAAAACCCAGTACCGTGTGAGTACTGTGTAGCTAGCTATAGGTTGCATCACTTGGGGAATAGTGACCAGAAATAAAGGTCTGTATGTGTTTAATAGAAATCTAGTTTTTTCAAAAATATTTTCAGCCGGACTTCATGGCAAACACCTGTAATTCCAGGCACTCAGGAGGCCGAGGTAGACAGTTCATGGTTCATTTAAGGCCAGCCTGGACTCCACAGCAAGACAGTCTCAAGATACAACACAATACAAAACAGAACGCAGTACTGAATAGCCAGCACGTGGGAGGCTGAGGCAGGCAGATCGTTGCAAGTTCAAAACCAGCCTGGGCTACCAAGTGAGCTCAAGGCCAGACTGAGCTGCATAGCAAGGCCTTGTCTCAAAAAAGGCAAGAAAACAAAAACTAAAACAGTGAATATCTACTATACACCAGGCACTGGGCTGGGCTCTGTAGACAAAACACAGAAAGAAAGCGGGTGACGCTTTCGCTGTAGGGACTCAAAGCCTTTTCCTTGGCTTTGAGGGCTCAGCCGCTATCTGTAGAGGCGGGAAGACCCGTGGAAGCAGACACGAAGCTCTGCAGAAAGGCATTGATCATCTGCTCTGACTCCTCTGTTTCAGGTCAGGGAGCTGCGCTCAGCCTCAGAAGTTAATTCTCAGATAAATAAAAGGGACAACGCAGAAGCCCCTGTTACAAAGCCCAGGAGGTCTGGACGTGTGAGGATGGTAGCCCTTTCATCTTCAAGGCGAGAAAAAAATATCGAAAGAGTCCAGGACAAACAACCGTAAATCTCAGCCTGAGCCCCAGCAGAGCCCTGGAAAGGCGTGGAGGAGGGTGGCCAGGACAGAGTCACAACGCGTCCCCGGTGACTCTGCACGAGCTCATCCTCTAGCTCCAGCCCTGTGCAATCCAGGGGAGTGTGGGGGCTCTGGTTTTGGACAGCGACTAGGAAGCAAAGAAGCCAACTGGACACAGGGGACAGTGGGTGGCAGGGCCCGGGGGATGGAGGGACAGGAGACCAAGCACTTGGGTCGTAAACCACTCAGGGCCAGGCGGTGGGTTTCTTGGCTCTGCAGTTTACACTGCAGTCGTGGGTCGGTGGAGCGATGGGCGTGAGATCCTTGCGGTTGGAGGCTCCCAACAGCGGCCATGGGGAGCTGGGTGGGGCCAGGCTCGCCTCTGCTTCTCTTCAGTGCCTTTGAGTGTTTTTCCCTATTCCTTCATTACCAGGCATGATGGACAGTTGGCCTCCAGTGTCTACGGATTCCTTGTCTGTGGGTTCAGCAACCACTGATCAAAAATCTGTTAAAAGCCGGCTATGATGGCTCACACCCATAATGCCAGCACCTGGGAGGCTGAGGCAGGAGGGTCTCTGTGAATTTGAGGCCAGCCTGCTACACAGCAAGACCCTGCTTAAAAACAAAAGAACAAAACAAACACAAAAAGAACAGTAAGCTTTCTTCCCTCAAGCCCCTCAGCACGGTGCTTGGCTGCTGACAGGTGTGGCCTGCCTGTGGGCAAGATGCCGGGCAGCCCTGGCTGAGGGACACACAGCTAGCGAGGAGGAAGTGAAACAGGGCCCTGCTGAGCACCAACCAGGCCCCTCCCTCTTTGGCACAGAAACTGGCCCATTTCAGCCCACGGGGTTTATTTCGCAAGTGGGTTATATGATCACCAGCGCTGGCTTATCTCCCAGCAGAGCCCGGCTCAGCTGCCCGTGCAGGGTCTCGGTGTGTGGCTGGGGCCAGGAAGGTATAATCCGCTCAGGGTCGCCTCCCCACCCCTTGGGGTCTCACTCCCTTCATTCAGTGGGGATCAGACCACGGTCTTCCTTTTCTGTTTTGTTTCTTTCTTGAGACAGAGTCTTGCCGTGAAGTTCAGGCTGGCCTCCAACTCTGGCGATCCTCCTGCCTCAGCCTCCTGTCTCCTGCTGTGATTGCAGGAGTGTCCCACTGTGCTCTAGAAAGCATCCCAGGGTGCTGGATGGAAGAGAGACCTCCCCTATGTCACAGAAAGCTCCATCTCTCTCCAAACGTAGCTGCCCCCTGCCCCACCCTCCTGGGAGAGAAAGGCGAGGTGGCCCTGGGCCAGCGGCCATACAAAGTGGCCTTGTTAGGTTGCCCTTAGATGTCCCCGCATGGCCCGCGGGGTGCGGGAGGATCTGTTTACACTGCCAGGGTCCCCTTGACCCTGGCCGGCGACAATGCCAGCCTCTGTTCCTGTGTGCAGCCCCCTGGAAGCGTCCGTCCGTCCAGTTGTACTGTGCACAGGACGAGGGCTCCGGTGACACTGGGTTCCGCCCTTGGGGTGAGCTCACTCCTGGCAGTTTCGGAGGCTCAAGGTGTCGGATTCTGGGCGAAACCTCTGGGTCCCTGAGGGCCCCTCTGGCACCCACCACCCACAGCAAGGTCACAACCCCGAGTCACTTCAGCCCCAGTCCTGGCCGCGCCTGGAAACTGAGGCTGTAGTCTAGGGGCACCATTTGCTGCGCCCAGGCTCGAGCCCTGGGTCCTCGCCTCAGCCTTGGGTCTCCTTGTGTGTCCTCTAGGCACTGCCCTTACCCCAGGGCCAGGCCCTGCCTTGTCACACTCTGCTTATTTGGTTTCACATTTGTTTGTTTGTTTGAGATGGAGCTTTGCTGTGTAGCCCAGACTGGCTTCAAATTCACAGCAATCTTCCTGCCTCAGCCTCCTGGGTTCTGGGATTACTGGCAAGTGCCACCATGTCAGGCTCAAAACCTACGGGCCCCTTTTAGTCTCCATTTCCCCCGGCTTGAAAATTAAAACTCACGGGTAATAAATGAAAAGGGAAGGGTTGAGCCTGGAGCCTCCCTACCTTACAGAGCCCTCGAGCTGGGACAGGTGGGGCAGGAAGGGCATTCGCCCCAGGCGGCAGATCATCTTGTCTGAGAGCCTCTGACCCCATCTTGCTGGGTTTCCCATGGAGTAATCCTCCCGAGCTTCCAGGACTTCCCCTCACCTGGTTTCTGCTGCCCCTCTGCAGCCGACCTGGTTTTCTCTTTCTAGAATTAATTTATTATTTTTTAATGCTGGGTGTGCTGGTGCACACCTGTAATCCCAGCACTCGGGAGGCCGAGGCAGGAGGGTTGCTGTGAGTCTGAGGCCAGGCATAGGTGCACAGTGAGACCTTGCCTCAGAAGAACAAACTCACCAGAAAGAGGAATCTGTGCATCTCTCTGACACTAACCAAGCATTCAAATTCAGGCTTTCGCTGGAAGTTGCAGACGGCAGGATGCCCCTCCAGTGGCCAGCTCCTCTTGACCAGATAGTGCAGGCTGGTGTTGGCCCTAAAGGAGACTCGAGCCTGGCCAGCCGGTGGGTGCAGGACAGCATTGTTCTGCGTCAGGGAGGCAGCAGGGGCAAAGGCCAGGGACACCTGACAGAGGGCGGAGGCCACGAGCAGCTCCAGGAGCAGAAAGCAGTTTTGTTCACTGCAGTCTTGGTGTCCCAAAGATGACTTTATGTCAATAGATTTTTTTCTTTTTGAGACAGGGTCTTGCTATGCAGTTCTGGTTGGCCTTGAGCTCACTGTGTTGTGAAGCTAACTTTGAAGTTACAGTCATCCTCCTGCCTCAGCCTCCCTCCGGAGTGCTGCTGAAGTGGCAGGCCCAGCCTTGGATTGGGGGTATTTGCATATGCATAATGAGGTACCTTGGATATTTGCATATGTACAATGCGGTATCTGGGATATTTGCATATGCATAATGCGGTAGTCTGTATATTTGCATATGCATAAGGAGGTATCTGGGAGGTGGACTGAAGTTCAAACAGACCTCGCCTGTTTTACTGGCAGAGCCCGGTTTATAGAGTATTTTCAGTGTTGTGTGGAGTCAGGGTTTCTAGCTCTGGAGCATTGGGGACTCTTGGATTTTAGATCAGGAATGTTCAACCCGTAGGCCGCACCCCAGGCTGGACGCTGGGTCCCTTGGGCAGCTTAACAAGCACCACCGGCCAGGGTCACCTGGATCTCCTGAGCCGGGTTTTTGGGTGCCTCGGGAGTGGCCGGAAGGCTTCCTTGGGGCACCATGAGCACCGCCTCGGCCTTGTAGGGCTCCCGCTCCTGCCCTTCCCAGAGCTCCCAGGAGCCCTCAGCGGGCAGCACAGGGCTCCGACCCTGCCTGGGCACCCGGGTCCCCACACTGCACCTTCCTGGGCGGGGCGCGGCCAAGGCCGCAGCTCCCCTCAGCGCTGCCCGCTGTGGTCTTTCTCCTGCGAAAGGAGACCCAGGAAAGTCTGTGGGAAACGCTCACTGCCCTGTGGGGCAGTGTCTCCAGGTCACTCACTGGCCGTGCGGGCCCTGAGGGGTCTGTCCCTAGCGTTCAGGCTGGCCTGGGGCTCCTGGAGATCCTCCTGCCTCAGCCTCGCCAGGACTGGGATGAGAGGTGCACCACGGCCCGGTGGCACCATCCGAATTCTTCGGGCTGCGATCACAGCGGATAGAAGCGCTGCCTAAGGCAGGAACCCTCGTCCCCCATGTGCTGCCCTTCAGTCCCCGTTAGAGCCATGCACGCGGAGGCCCCTGCAGGCCGGGCTCTGTGCAATCGTGGCTCATGTCGTCATCGGAGTGGCCTGAGGGGACCTTGCACAGGAGCGCACCTTTGCGCACAGGTCCCGCCCCTCCCGCTTCTGTCCCAGGCAGCTCCAGCGGCACCTTCTCCCCAGAACCACACTGGGGTTTTCCTAACTCTTAGAGGGGCTTCTCTACGCACTCTGCTGAGCCCGGCACGGTGGCGCACACCTATAATCCCAGTACTTTGGAAGGCTGAGGCCGGAGGTTCACAAGTTCGAGCCTAACCTGGCAATATACTGGGACGCTGTCTCATGATAAAAATGAATAAAAGAAGCCAAGAGTGTAGCTCAGGGTGTAGCAAAGGCCCTGGGTTCAATGTCCAGCTATGTTTCTAAAGGGGACCCACTGCTCCCCCGCGGTCCGTCCAGGCCATGTGGTCTCCTAGCAGTGCTCTCTCAAGGCTGGGGTCAGGCTGACTGAAGGGCTTCCATCGCCCTCAGTGTGGGGGCTCCTGGTCGAGGTGCAGAGTCGGAAGGGCAAGGCTCGGGGGCTGGGCCACTGCGCTGTCCTGCCAACTACCCACCGGCAAGGACCTGGATGTTTAAAAATAGACACAATGGCCGGGATATTGCTCAGTGGCACTGGGCCTGCCTGGCAAGTGCAAGGTTGTAGTTTGGTGCCTGGTACTGAAAAAAAAAAATGTACACAATCCTGGGCTTGGTGGTGTTTGCCTATAATCCCAGCACTCAGGAGGCTGAGGCAGGATGATTACTGCATATTCAAGGCCAGCCTGGGCTACATAGTGAGACCTTCCCTTAAAAAAACCAAAAACCTTGTAAAACGTGCTCTGAACCCCTAGTGTATCGTGCCTGCCCTAAGAAGATGAGTGAATTTTAGAACACTGTTGTGGAAAATGCTCCAGGGGTCTCTGCAAGGTAGCGAGCACAGGCCACGCTGTGACCTCAGGAGGGTGCAAAGGCCAGGTGGGGTTGGGACACAGAGGTGGCAGCAGGGCTTGAGGCCTACAGCCTGGCCCATGTCACTGGGGAGCCCATCAGCCAGGGCGTGGTACCATGGTGGCCTTGCCCAGACCCACGGCCTCTTCCAGACACAGGGTCTTGCTATGCAATTCAGGCTGGCCTTGAAGTCACTATGGAGCCAAGGCTGGCCTCGAACTCTTGGAGATGCTCCTGCCTCAGCCTTCTGAGTGCTGGGGCACAAGTGTGTGCCACCTCGCCTGGCCACTTGTGCCATTTGGAGTAGGTGACTGACTTAAATGCTTTGCAAAATGCTACCAAGGAGGCCCCGTCATCCCAGAGAGACCTAGGGAAACATAAGGTGACACAGCACCTCTAGCCACGGATGCCAGAGCCCTCCACTTCCACTTCCGTCCCGGCTGCCCCATGCTGGCCGGGCATCTGAAGGACCTGAGTGTGTGCACAGAGACCCAGCCACCCGTTCACAGGGGCAACACAGAGGCCGATGGGCACATCAAACGTGTGCAGAGGTGACAAATGTTTATCCTCGGGAAGTGCTGCTGCTTTGATCCCGCACTCTATTTTTTGAGAGCTTGACAAATGTGCCCTGGGGCCTTGGCTTCAAACGGCTGCAGTCAGGAGCCCACACTTGACCCGCAGCATTTGATCCTAAGCACAGAATGGGCTCCTCTGTCCCCCGCCGCCACCCAGAGCCAGAAGCGGGTGGGGGCCTCGGTGCCAGGGTGGAGCGTGTCCCTGGGGCCTCCCCTTCCCTTCTCTTCCATGTCCTTGGAGCCTCGTGGGGAGGTGGATGCCTGGCTTCCCCAGAGGAAATTCTTTTTCTTTCCTTTTTGAGATATGGTCTCTGTGCAAACCAGGCTGGCTTCCAACTCCTGGCGATCCTCCTGCATCAGCCTCCTGAGTGCTGGGATGATAGGTGTGGGCCGCCAAGCGGGGCCACATGAACATCAGCATGGGAGGACGGCTTTGGAGATCTTACAGAATTCAACAGCTCTCCGGCCTGCCGGGAGCAGAAAGCCAGGACCCTGCCCACAGTGAAGGCCAGGAGGGGAGATCACGGAGGTGGGCAGGTACCTTCCCAGCCCCTGGCCGGTGGCTTCCATGTATCCCAGCCACTGTGGGCTGTCATCTGTGGGAATAATGGGCAGGGTAGCAGCCTGAAGCTTCTGCAGCCCCCAAGCTCTCCTGCCCGTTATGCCTTAGGTTCTGTTCCCATTCTCCTGCGCATCTCCGCGTCTCCGTGTTAAACGTCCGCTTGTTGGGATATTGAGGGCAGCTTCCAAAAGTAAAATAGTTTATGTCTTACTAGGTATGGTGGCCTGCGCCTGTGACCCCAGCACCCTGGAAGGCTGAGGCAGGAAGATTGTACATTTGAGCCCACCCTTGCTTGACTTAGCAAATTAGTGAGATCCTATTTCAAAATTTTAAAAAATATTTTAAAATGGATCAAAGATCTACATGCTAAAACAGGCTGGGTATGGAGGCGCAGTGTAATCCCGGCACTCAGCAGGCTGAGGCAGGAGGGTGCCATGAGTTGGAGGCCAATGTAATGGGTTTAAGGCCAGCCTGAACTACGTCCTAAGACTCTGCCTCAAAAAAGTAAATAAATTAGTAAATGTATATTGAAACAGAAACAATCATCTGTAGATAAAACAAGTGAAACTCTTGAAGCCCTAGGTGTAGGTGAGGACTTTCTGAACAGAACCTCAGTTGTATAAAATATAAAACCTAGAATCAGCAAATGGGATCATATCAAATCAATAAGCTTCTGCATAGCAAGAAAACCACCAGCAGGGAGAAGAGACCACACACAGACAGGAAAAATAACTGCTAGGTACTCCTTAGACAGAGAGCTAATGTCTAGAATAAAAAACTCAAAAAAATTAGACTCACAAAATGGATTTTAAAAAATTAGAGTCCCCCAAATAAAAGACCCAATAAAATAAACAGGCAACTAAAAGAAAAAAAAAAAGGAGGTGTGGTGGCACATACCTGTAATCCCAGCACTAGGAGGCTGAGGCAGGAGAACTGCTGTGCATTTGAGGACAGCCTGGGCTTCAAAGTGAGTTTAAGGCCAGCCTGAACTGTATAGTGAAACCTTTATCTCAAAAAGGGAAAAAAAATTCAACCAAAAATTCAACCAACTTCTCAGAAAAAGTACAAGTGGGCGATAAATATGTGAATAAATGCTCACCATCTCTGGCCATTAGAGAAATACAATACTGAGACTCCCTTTTGTTCCAGAAGGAACGGCTATCATCAAGAAATTAAATGACTGGCCAGGTGTGGTGCCATATTAGTACTCAGGGGGCTGAAGCAGGAGGATCGCCCAGAGTTCAAGGCCAGTTTGAGCTGTATAGTGAGATCCTGGCTCAAAAAATCAATCAAAAAGTAAGAAGAAAAGAAATTAAGTGATAGCAAATGCCTTGAGGCTGCAGGGAAAAAGAACCCCTCCTATATTGTCAGTGGGACTGTAAACTGGTACAAGATCTACGGAAATCAGCAGGGCGATTCCTCCAAAAACTAGAGGTAGAAATTCCATTTGACCCAGGTGTTCTTCTAGGTATCTTCTAGAAAGAGTTAAAGATACCATATTACACCCACGATGCATGCACACCCATGTTTGTAGCAGCACAATTCACCATGCCAGTAACTCTGGAAGCTATGCCCGTCACAGGCAAATGGATAAAGAAAATGTACTTACACACAGCAGATTTCCACTCTGTCATACATAAGGGTGAGCCTTGGTCATCTGGAGGACAATGGATGAAGCTTGAGGCCATAATTGCTGGCTTTGAGTCAGGGTCTCACTATGAAGCTCAGAGTGGCTTTGAACTCACTGTGGGGCCGAGGCTGGCCTCAGACTTACAGCGACTCTCCTGCCTCTGCCACCTGAGTGCTGGATTACAGATATGCATCACTGCACCTGTAAACCAGACCCACAAGTTTAACTGTCTCATGGACAGCAGGAGGAGGGAGACTGATCTTTTGCCAGTGGGAGGGGTGGACCCAGAGGGAGAGGGACGCGGCTACGGTGGCGAATGCCTGCGACCCTTCCCTTCCCCCCCTTCCCCCTTTGTGTCCAGGCCGGCCCTGACCTTGAGTTCCTCCTGCCTCAGCTTCCCAAGGGCGCTACCATGCCTGGCTTGGCCTCCTTCCTCCTGACTCTGGAGGCTGCTGCCCCCCGGAACAGCTAGCATCATGGTGCACCCCTCGACTCAGGCCTGCCTTGCTCGGAGCTGCAGGGCGCTGCGAGGTGACGCCTGTGTCAGCCAGGCTAGGGGAGGACCAGGAGCAGCCAGGCTGGGACAGAGCTCCCAACTCCCCGCTGGGGGCGGGGGGTTGGTGACCTTGGGGCACCTGGCCTGCCCTCGGGGCCGGGGCCGGAGCTGTCACAATCCTCAGGAGACTTCGAAACTCACGCACCCTTCGCGGTTGGGGTGCAGCCCCAAGCCCTCTGCGCATGCGCTCTGGAAGCAGGCGCAGCCATGAGAGCGCCGCCCTGCTGGCGCCGCGGCACAGTGCAAACCGAGAGGAGCCTGCCGGTGTGGAGGGCGGACCGCGGAGTCCGAGTGGGCCTTGCAGGCTGCAGCCCAGGGACGGTGCTTGTGGCACAACTCTTCCTCCTTTTCTGCTCCAGGTGCCGGGAGCTCAGGCTGTTCTTCTGTTGCTGACTTTTGGAGATGGGGTTTTGCTATGCAGCCCAGGCTGGTCTTGATTCTACAGCAACCCTCCTGCCTCAGCCTCCTGTGGTGAGGAGTGCTGTGATCACAGCCTTGCGCCATCGTGCCCAGCTAGGATTTCTAGTTTTAGTTTTTTTGAGGAAAAGTAAAATAAAAGACACGTAGGCAGGAGATTGGGAGTTGGATCTTCTGTGAAAGGGAGGAAGACCAAGAGATGGAGGGCAGGGAGGGGCTGGGTGAAGAAGGAATGCAGATATGTTTTGTGTGTGCTTGACATCCACGAGGAAAGGGATCCTTCCGTAGTACAAACCCCGACCCAAAAGAATAAAGCACTCCTGCTGGGCAAGTGGTCCCAGCACTC